CACATTCCAAGGCTGCATCTCAATCTAGTCTACCTAAAGCATCAAGGCTGAGATTAAAGTGTTTTGGGGGAAATTTAGAGATGCCGAGAGTGTTGTTTAAACCAAACACATTATTACATCTCAACCTCCTGCTAACAGCTTAACAGAAAATTAAACTCCTGAATTTGGTTCAGTTCCATGTTAAGGCTAATTGAGAGCATGGCGTAAATAAAAGGTTTCAGGGTGACTCCACTGCCGAGTGGTTACGCTGCACACCACACAGGCGCATACTGCCCTGAGCGGCAAGTCATTCGGATCATTTGCCGTGTGTCATTCCTCCCCCCTTCCTCCCCCACATTCCTTGTGTCTGTACACAATCTCTCTATCAACAAAAGGCACAAAAATGCCAAAAAAACAAACATTTTAAAATATGAAAGGTTTTCATTTAAAAAGAAACCAAAAATGTGTCCGTCCATCCATTTATTCATCTTCGTCCGCTTATCCGGAGCCAGGTCTCGGTTGCTGGAAATTCAAAAACACACTAATTGCTAGTTGCAAGTATTTTTAATGTCTCCATTCAGGATTAATTTTAGAAAGCGCCAACAAAAAGACACATACTGAGTCACACATCACTGAAAAACACGACAGCACATGACAAATGATTCAGAGGAATTTTAATTAATGTCTACCACTACAAAATATTCTGCAATGTGACTGAAGTCTGATTGCACTTGCTCAAAAGCTGAAACATCTTCCACCTAAAGAACACCATCAACAGCGACAGAAGTGACCCTTGCTCTCTGTTATCTGCAACAATACTTACATCTCTGTCAGCAAAATATCTCAACAAGGACGAATCATAAAACACTAAATCCTCATGCAGCTGTTTTAAGGACAGCGCAGGACTTCAGAACAGCTAATTACAGAGCAATGGAGGGACAACAGTCAAATCCAACAGTCTAACAGTCAAAATGTTAATTTCCCACCGTACAGAGGCTTTAGATGAAGTATGTATAAATACACTGTGAAGCAGCCAGAGAGATCAATTATCCACAAACAAACCCACACACAGAATGAACATGGATGCCATCTGGGTATGCAGAGACGTAGCCTATTCATTATAATTCATGATTGCAAATATTAGCAAAATGTTGAGCAAACAGCTTCCTTTCAGCTTTTGCTTTCAGTTGGTACAAGAACCCTTTTAGATGAGAGGACATGAGGAGGGAAAAATGCACCCAGAAACAAGTTAATTTTGCTCTTATATTATCTTGTGTTCATACAAAGACAGAACAATAAATCGGTTTGGGATCAAAATCTCAACTTAAAAAAAACAATGCAATTAGGAAATTGCAGTCACAAATGAGACTAATGCTGTAATTCAATTACAATTAATTTAAGCAGATTGAGACTTTCAGTGGTTGTTTATGCCCATTGTTTAATGTAGTACTATGTGTTTCAGACATGCACACTGTGGTGCAACTGACATGGAGACACACTTTGGACATTTTGCAGCAGTGTGTCTGACCAAGGATTTTAAAAAGTTGCATCAATGGTTTTACAAATTCATGCAGCCCTCCTTGTATAGCAGCCACATTTTTGATGATGTCTCATGTTGTAATGATTTAAAGCCGGTACAGAGGGAATACTGAATTGAAGCTTTATTTTAAAAACTTGATATCGCAAATCAAATTATAATATCTGTAATCTGCAATTAGATCTTATCCCTAAATCGTCCAGCCTTAGATCAGACTATCAAGAAGGAGGACAAAAAGAATATTGTTGGTGTACTGTAAGAAATCCATTACAAAGAAATGGCTGAAAAGGGAGGCACCCGGTGTTGATGACTGGATTGATACTGTGCGTGGTACCTTTGTGATGGAAATAATTACTTTTAACTTGAGAATGCATAAACATGTACTTGTTAAAAATTGGCAAAAATGGACTGCATATATTTCTACCATTAGAGCAGACTTCAGGTAACCTTTGGTTAAATATCACTGTTAATATTATTACTATTGTTGTCATTAATAGTACTATTTCTCTTTCTCTCACTCACTCTCCCTGCTCCATTCACAACTGGAAATCTCTACAAGTCTCTTCAGGCATTTCTTAAATTTTATCTCCCTGATGTTATATACTCGCCAAAAGGTCTTCTTGTTCATTGTTTTGTGTCTGTTTACAAAAAAAAAATCAATAAAAAGAAAATGACAAAAAAAAGGAGGACACAATCATAGTTTTGCAAGTCAAAAGAAACGCCAGGGATGCACATTAAATTTCAATAAATTATTCTGACAGTGAAATCAAATCAAAATCAAATTACAGCGGTCGAGCTGACTGTGAATATGATTTGGGCAAGTTGGACCAGTTCTAATCCAGTCTGGGTCAGCAAAATGACAAGTGTGTGTGAGATATCTAGAGATTCTAATCTTAAGTCTTCCAGTCGATACCAGACGTCCTCACAAAGATATTTTACAGGTTTTGTGATTTTAGTGACTGGATTTTGGTCATCAATTAAATCCCTTACCAAAGTCAAATACCAAGTCGAGGAAATCAGCTCAGTCTAAACTTTGCTGTTCAAATGCTAAAGCTGTGCTGTGTTTCTCAGGGTCAAAGAGCAATGGCTTCTTTGTATACTGAGCATTTTTCTTAAATTGTATGCACCACTGAAGAAGCAGAGGAATGAACTGTAGTGCAACAGACGAAGCCTTAATGCCTTAAAAATGTAAAGCAGCCACAAGACATTCAGTGTTTTCAGTTATCAGATTTCAAATTAAGCAAAGATCGAGCATCTCATCCCGGGGTAATTAAACAGTTTCATTTCATTGTTGCAGGACACTGTAGTGTTCACTGTCAACATGAATCTGTATAGATTATTGATTGAAGTGTTAAAATTGTACAGCACTTGTTCCATCAGGTGGACAAAAGCGAAAGCAAAGCTGATCAGTATTTCTCGACAGCAGAGTGCATAAACCATGTTCAACAGCAAACGCACAGACTTCAGATCTTTACCACATCATAACATGCACTTGTGTTTATTATGGTCCTCCTATGTTTATACCCAGGTTTAAAATGTAGGAAACTCCTCTCGGCATGACGGTACGATTTAACGACACCGTAAACTGCAGTCTCCAACATTTCAATAATGTTCAGTCTCTTGAACAGTTTTAGCAGAAACTGAAATTACCACTGGAAAGATCAGCCCTTTTATTTTTTTAAATTATTTTTGACATCTGAAAATATGAGTCTGCTTTACATATTAGTAGGCTGTTTAAGGTGAAAAACTATATTTCTGCACTTATAGACACAAAATATGACTATTGTAGAACAAGATATGTGCATAAATGTACAAATGAAGACAACACTAAAGCAGACTGTATCCTTGGCAAGATAGAAAACAAGCTTTTATGTATAAATGCAAGGCCACCACAGACAACAGCTTAAGTACAAAAGCTTTTTTTGTTTATAAATGAGTGAATTAAGAAATAACATCCATCCATCCATCCATCCATTATCTATACACTGCTTAATCCTCACTAGGGAATGATGCTTTGTCCATCCATCCATCCATCCATCCATCCATCCATTATCTATACACTGCTTAATCCTCACTAGGGTCGTGGGGGGGCTGTAGTCTATCCCAGGTGACTATCACAGGGCTACACTTAGAGACAGACAACCAAGCACACTCACATTCACACCTACGGACAATTTAGAATCATTAATTAACCTCAACATGTTGTTGGACTGTGTGGGAGGAAGCTAAAGAACCCAGGGAGAACCCACGCTGCACGGGGAGAACATGAAAACTCCACACAGAAAGATCGTGGGTGTCCTCACCGGGACACGAACCAGTGACCTTCTTGCTGCGAGGCAACAGTGCTAACCAACTGCACACCTTGCAGCCCAAGAAATAACATACAAAATCTGAATCAAATTATAAGAAGATTTTACAGAATTGTTTGCTGTCAGACGAAAAAAGTATAGTAGAAAGACTGTTTTGATTTGATCACAGCCCTAGTATATGTCATCCAGGCCTAAACACTGACCAATAAGAAACAATAAATTATCATAACAAAATTGCAACTCCGTTTTAAGTCATCTACAATCAGATTACAGGGTATTAAAAAGCTTGGCTGTTAGAATTTGTACAATATGTGTTATTATTAGCTAACATTGGCACAAATTGAGGGGGTCTGGGGGTTCTTCTCCAGGAAACTTTGGGCATGAAACACTTAATTTAATACATTCCTATGCATTTTAATGCACCATCTCAATGCAAGTCCCTTTTCTTTACTATTTTAAAGTGGAAACATATTTCTTCATGTAGGGGGAAAGACTAAATTCTGGGAGCAGTGATTCATAATCTGATGGAATGCAGTACAGCTCTCAGGCATTCTGTAGTGCTTTCAAGTATTTATTATGCTGTAAATCAGCTTTTGTCATTTAATATGATCCCTACTTCTTTCATGCTCATATTGAGGAGGACAAGTGCTCTGTTAGGAGTCCTGATGGGAATGTTTCCCCAAAATCTACCCATATGTTGATCAACACATCAAAAGCAGCCTCAAAAATACAACATGGAGTGGCTCCAGCACCAAATGCAGTATATTATTAGACCATACATAGACACAGAAACAAGCCTTTTTCCAATCAATTTGGGTTAGAAGGGAAATGACCACATAAAATCACTTGCACCACAAATTAGCCTGAATATAAGCTCACACGTACTTTGGATCCGCACCAGTGATAGAAAGTGCTAGAACTGTTGGTAGATATACTGGCCCTTATAGGCAGCCTCTGCGCCAAAATGCAGATATTTGCATGTGATGCAGAGCAGCAAATGAAAGCAGCGGGGTCATGAGAGGGTCAGCAGGTTAGTCCCAGTCACCCCTGCGGTCATTAGCGCTGCTCGTAGCCGGAATTAGCGGCAGGAACCATATTAAGCCGCTCGGTAAGTTCAATAACGCGCAGGTAAGCGTCGCAGTAACGGAGCCGCGGCGGCTGGTTCAGGTACTTACTTTATCAAGTAACTCGCTCCTTCGTCCGTAAAACCTTCCTCCCATCCCCGAGGTAGGTCTGAAATAAAACCACAGCACACACTTGTTCGTGACACCTGAAAGTTTGCCGGGCCCCAAACGGACACTGAAGTTAGCGGCGGAGACAAACACAGTAAAGTAAACATGAAAGGGGCACAGGTGTTAGCCTAGCTAGCTACCTGAGCGGATCATGTGGCCGGAGTTCACCGGTTCACCGGAGCGGGGATGCAGCCAGGTGGTGGTCCGAGTCTCATCGCTGCCGCACAGACAGAGAGAGCAGAAAAACACCTGTTACACCGCCGGGGAGAAAACACCGGCAGACACCGCCAACTCCCGTCAAACCGGGAGAGACGGCGCCACAAAGCGCTCGTTATCCCACTCACTTGATGAAGAAGACCCTGCCGTCCCCGCAGACACCGTAAGACCAGTGTTCAGGTAAGGTGTCCCGCCCGAGAGGCGCCGCCATGATCCGGTCTGAAGTCCTATTTCATGTCAGCCTCTCTCCATGGAGTCTCCCGGGAGCTCAGCGATCACTGCCAGGGCCAGCGCCGCCTTCAGGGACTCCTCTGAAGCCCGTAAACCCCAGCACCAGGCGCTGGACGTGTTCTGACGCTGACAGCACCGAGCTCTGGGCTCCAGGTAGAAGCTCTGCAGGATGTCTGGAGGTTCAAGGTTTCTGCTTTTACGCAGCGGGATGGAAACAATGTTTTTCGCATTAAATGTCAATAAGACTGAATTATAGAAGCTGTATTGTTGTATGAATCTAAATCAGCTTATTGGCCAAGTATTTGTTCACATTAAATTAATTAGAAACTTCTTTCTTTGCTCTCAGTGTAACCACACTGAAACCACACACAGGCAACAAGTTGAAGGAAGGAAAGAAAATTCTTAACTACAATGTAAAGCAACAGGCATGTATCCCCACTTTCATGCTCACCGGTCGAGGCAGAGGACCACCTTCCCTGAGCCTGGTTCTGTCTGATATTTTTATTTATTTGTTTTCCTCCCTATGAAAGTGGGTTTACTTCGGTTCCTTTCCACCGACTGTTTGCTCATAGAGAATCCAAAGACAGCTTCAGATTATCAGGTTCTCTGTTCTCTGTTTAAAACTCATGAGTAACTTCACCTTTACTATGTGAAGTCCTATGAACAGAAGAATAGAATATATTGTCAAATAGAATATACAGCAGTTGGTGCACATTTTGGCTGAAATTTCAATGCAAAAGCTCACCATCGGACTGGTAAATACCAAAACAAAAAATATTTGAAACAAAAACAATTACAATATGTACATGGAAAAAACTGTATAATCATTATATATATTTATGTATATACACACACACACCTGCATACATACGCCTCCGCACACATTTCTTCCACAGTAAGAAGTAACAGCAGTTTTCTGCAGTGAGCAGAGAAATGTAGCAGCAGTATTGCACGTATGAGATGTTATATGTCGTGAATTGGTGCTATATGACTAAAACAGAATTGAATTGTAAAGGAGCATGTTTAAAGTGAACCAAAATGCAGCGCCATAGGTCAGGTCATGTCCCTGTGTATATTTATTGGTTTAGAATGACATAAAGTTTATACTCAGAGTTATACCCAAAAAACAAATATAGAACCATAAAATGGAGGTAATTTTCCACCATGGTTTAGTCAGTGGCTGGCACTGGTGCGGTTCCACTGAAGGACTTTGGACTTCTCCTTATTGTTTCTAAAATCCTGGCTGCGGCTCTGCTTTTGTGCTGCAAACGTGAGTAAATGGAAGTCAAACTTGTCAACTTGTTGACATCCTGGTGCCTGTGTGATCACGCAGTGATAAACAAACAAAACAAGAGTTACAAGTCAGGACACTGATGTAAATCTGGTTATAACAGCTGCACATTATAGTGACCCTTGTATTAAGTGCAATATAGTTTTCATAAGCAACATAATGCAAAGGAGAATGCCTACTGTGATGCCTTTTTTATACCATATGTTTAACAGCAGTAGTAGTAGTACAAGTACCAATATATATGCATATTTAAATTAACAATCTTCCATATGATTTATTAATTAAGATGTATGGGGTGGGTGTTCAGCTGTGTGTGCAAACATAAATCATTTTAAGAGGTGGTTAACATGTGAGGATGATACTGGAAATAAAATTAGGTTTACCCTCTGTGCATATAAAGCAGGGACGTGTTGCTATGTTCATGTTTGTAACCAGAAAACTGAGAGCAGCCATGATGGGTTGGGGGTAAAATAGTGGACAGAGTGTCTGAATACAGCATTTACATTTCTACAGGGATCAATTGTTTACAAGTGGCATAATGACCTAACTGACCACTATCATATGATAAAGATTTAAATCACAAAATTTGAGAGAAAATGAATGAAGACGTCCAACTGTAATCACCTGCCACACCCAGTTGGGCTTGTTTTGTACATTTATTTGTCTTTTCCTGTGGATTTAATTTCTTTTTTAACTAACGTTATTAATGCATGTAGCTTGGGTTTAGCTTATACTAAAATCTGTGGATACTTACACCTGTTGTATGAATAACTTCAGTGGTTACAAATGTGGCTGCCTTCATAGCTACGACATTTTTTTCAGTACTTAAAGGCATCGCAGCAGTGGGCTTCCACAGAAAAAAAAAGAGCAGGAGAGAAGTGCGGCTTTGCCAGTGTTGCTCCTGGCAGCAGTCGAGGAGAGCGAATAAAAAATGTGCTGATTTCAGGCTCTTTAGAGTCGGTTATTTGCCACCTTTAGTATTTAGGTGATTTAACAGGGCTGTGAGATTAAAGAGGGATTAAAGACTTCCTTTAACAATTAGAAACCTCGATAAGAAACGCTTTGATTCTAAAGGATCTGCACACAAGTTGTTTCTCAGCAAAGATGGCCTGTCGAGGGACACTTCATTAAGACTAATTAATACTAGAGTTGTTGTGTTGTAATTAAATCTTCTTCTTTCTTTTTTTTTGTTTAGATAAACTGCTCAAAAGCTCTATTAGACATTGTACAATACTAAAGACATCAGGACTTGGGGCGCCGCAATAGCTCACCTGGTTGAGCTGGCGTCCCATGTACAGGGGCTGAAGTCTCCGATGCAATGGTAGTGAGTTGGAATCCAGCTCGTGACACTTTGCAGCAGGTCCTTCCCCCATTCTTCTCCCCCACTTTCCTGTCTCTCTCTTCACTGTACTATCTAATAAAGGCATGAAAGGCCAAAAAAAAAGGCATCAGGACTTTGAAATGACATGTTGTAGATTCCTCAAAGTAAACAATGTTTGTTGATGACAGCGTTGTCCTCTATTGGCAATACCTTAACTAGCTTCATGGGTTTCAGCTAACTGCTTTCTCAAAAGTTAACTGATGGCATGTTTTTGTGTGTTTGTCTTCTCAATGTGTTTCAGAACATCAGTTGTAAAAGTAGTGCTGCTATACAGCAAATAATTCATCCATATTGTGGTGAGAATTCAGCAAACAGAAATCCTAAGTCTCACATGTGAAGGTTAGTAAATCCACAAAAATGTCAAGAAGTTTGAGAGTTTCTTTAATTGCAGATGCAAAAATCATCAAACTGATAAAACTGGCTCTGAGGGTGCTTTAAATGAGGACCAAGGGTTCACTAAAAGCTCCAGCCTCAGAAATCACAAATTACCAGTACCTCAGATTAAAGTCCACATTAAAGCTTTTCAGAGTTCAAGCAGCAGACACATGTCAACATCAGCTGCTGGGAGGAGACTGAGTGAATCGGGCCTTCATGAAGGACATGCTGAAAAGAATCCACTACTGAGAGAGACCAAGAGTAAGAAGAAGAGATGTTTGGGCCATGAAATAGAGGGAATGGACATTAGACCAGAGGAAATATCCACTGAGGGGTTCAGATTTGTGGTCCCAGCCACCATGTGTTTGTGAGATGCAGAGAGGATGAACGGATGGTACCTGCGTGTACAGTTCCAACTGTAAAGCATGGAAACAGAAAACACATTTTGCTTCCTTGAGGTGTTAAGTTTTTTTCTACAGTGTGAAAAACTACAAAAGACAAAAGAATGTGGTATTTCCGTCCAAACCTTTGAATGGTTTGTATATGGAAAGTTATATGATGACTGAACTCACTCTAGGGCTTATATTCTGTCATAATTTGTGTCATTTTTTAGCACTTCATTACTTTAAGGTTTCAGTGGTGCCTGCAAGACACTTTCGGGATTAATTTCAAGGCATTTTCCTGACAGAACTCTATAAACTAGTACTAATTACAGGGGAAATAAGGACAATGTTCTGTTTCTTAGGATTTAGTCACGTAAGTTGATAAGCTGTTGATTTCCACAGGAATTTCCTTCAATTAGTTCTGCTCCATTTAAACCAAAGTAAATACTCTTTCACCTTTCAGCTATCATCGGAAACTTGTTTCAAACAGAAAATTATGGACCTCTAAAATAAACCATTCAGGTGCTGCAGTTGCTACCTCTCAACATTTACACCAGCTCTGATGTGGTTCTGATAAGGAAACACTGCACTATAATATCAGCCCGCTGGTATGTCAGTTAGGCTCTAGTGTTTACTTGCAGCAAACATGTTTTTGTTGGTTTTCCTCAGTGGCTCATTAAGACAAATAAAAGCCCCCGTCAACTGTCAGACACAGTTTGTTCTGAGTCACTCGTCAGGAACTCTGAGCTCATTGGAATTTCATTTTCCAAAGTGGCTCCACTTCCACGAGACATGTAGTGGCGTGCTTACGACAACATCCTGACACGCTTTCCACGAAACCCTATTATTTTGAAATCCATGCGGGAACAAATACAGCTCACCTGAGCTGTTGTTAAGTTCACGGTCGGCAGGAATCCTCACCAAAAACAGTAATTTCCTAAAGCACTGGAGCACCAAGGATAAAAAACTGAAGTGTGAGCTGTTATTTGTCACAGTGGTCTTCATTTATTGCCATCTGGAGAAGAGGGTTTTATTGCAAGGACACAAAATCACAATTTTTTTGCCATTTATTGTCCAACACTAAAGCATGTTGAACTACCTTTGCTCTTTTTGTGATTTTCTTATGTAGTCATTTGTCAATTTTCAATTTCAGCTTAACCCTTATATCCAGCAGGCCAGATTTTTTTTTTTCAACAAGCCATCAGTGTAATTTGGCCATTTATCCAAAACACTCACACTTCAAAAGGAGTGAAACATATTTTTCACATGTGGTGATTTTTGCGAGCGTGTCTTGTGGTTTCCTCTCCCCCTTGTTTGGCTTTAGTTGGCAGCGCTTACTTTGGAAACACCTGACACCTCAAGAAAAGAACTAAAGGGCAGCTCGAGGTCGACAAACACACACAACCTCACCGCTGAAAGACCACCTTTTTTTTTTTTTTTTTTTACACTTTGGAGTGTATTTGTGTGAAAAGATAAAGTGCTCACATAGTAAAAAGAGAAGAAGAAGAATGAGAGACTTACAGCCAAGTTACCGAATGATATCACAATCTAGCAGGTCAGTAA